CAGCCGCTCATTGACGGATACCCATAGAAAAATGTGCCGGGAAAATGATTTCAATATGTGGGGATCCCCGCGTCGAGTAATTACAGGTTGGTTGAATCGTTTTCCTTTTTTTAATGTGTTACGATTCGTTTCCAGCGCGACAGACCTCTGACAAGACCCCTGATCGTAGCGCTGCGGCTGACGGTACCTGGCTCAACCTTGCTGCGCCAGCATTCCACGAATAATGACAACGCTTGCTGCCACTCCCCCTGACGACCGCACGCTGTGATGGCACCCGCCAAAGTGGTAGAACTGAACACCACGTCCCGATGCTGCATCATCGCGAATAATGACAACGCCTGCTGCCACTGCCCGCATTTTCCACACGACGTGATCCCAGAGCTGTAGCTGATGACACTTGGCTCCAACCTCACTTCCAACATCCCGCTGAGGAGTGACAGAGCCTGCTGCCACTGCTCGCCCTTCTCGCACGCGCTGATGCCAGAGTTGTAGCTGATGACATTTGTTTCCAACCTCGCTTCCAACATCCCGCTGAGCAGTGAGAGAGCCCGCTGCCACTGCTCGCCTTTCGCGCACGCGCTGATCCCAGAGCTGTAGCTGATGACATCTGGCTCCAACCTCGCTTCCCACATCCCGCTGAGCAGTGAGAGAGCCCGCTGCCACTGCTCGCCCTTCTTGCACGCGCTGATCCCAGAGTTGTACCTGATGACATTTGTTTCCAACCTCGCTTCCCGCATCTCGCTGAGCAGTAATAGAACCCGCTGCCACTGCTCGCCTTTCGCACACGCGCTGATCCCAGAGCTGTAGCTGATGACATCTGGCTCCAACCTCGCTTCCCATATCTCGCTGAGCAGTGAGAGAGCCCGCTGCCACTGCTCGCCCTTCTCGCACGCGCTGATCCCAGAGTTGTAGCTGATGACACTTGGCTCCAACCTCACTTGCAACATCTCGCTTAATAGTGAGAGAGCCCGGTGCCACTGCTCGCCGTTCGCGCACGCGCTGATCCCAGAGTTGTAGCTGATGACACTTGGCTCCAACCTCGCTTCCCACACCCCGCTGAGCAGTGAGAGAGCCCGCTGCCACTGCTCGCCTTTCGCGCACGCGCTGATCCCAGCGTTGTAGCTGATGACACTTGGCTCCAACCTCGCTTCCCACATCCCGCTGAGCAGTGACAGAGCCCGCTGCCACTGCTCGCCTTTCGCGCACGCGCTGATCCCAGAGTTGTAGCTGATGACATCTGGCTCCACCTTCGCCTCCCACATATCGCTGAGCAGTGACAGAGCATGCTGCCACTGCTCGCCCTTCTTGCACGCGCTGATCCCAGAGTTGTACCTGATGACATTTGTTTCCAACCTCGCTTCCCGCATCTCGCTGAGCAGTAATAGAACCCGCTGCCACTGCTCGCCTTTCGCACACGCGCTGATCCCAGAGCTGTAGCTGATGACATCTGGCTCCAACCTCACTTCCCACATCTCGCCGAGCAGCGATAGAGCCCGCTGCCACTGCTCGCCCTTCTCGCACGCGCTGATCCCAGAGTTGTAGCTGATGACATTTAGCTCCAACCTCACTTCCCACATCTCGCTGAGCAGTGAGAGAGCCCGCTGCCACTGCTCGCCCTTCTCGCACGCGCTGATCCCAGAGCTGTAGCTGAGAACGTCGGGCTCCAGGATCACCTCCCGCACCTCGCTCAGCAGCGCCAGCGCCGGCTGCCACTGCTTGCTCTTCTCACACGCGCTGATCGCAGCGTTGTAGCTGATGGTGTCGGGCTCCAAAGTCGTTTCCCGCAGCTCGCCCAGCAGCGTCATAGCCCGCTGCCACTGCGCGCCCTTTTCGCAAGCGCTGATCCCAACGTTGTAGCTGATGACGTTGGGCTCCACCTTCGACTCACACATATAACTGAACAGCGATAGCGCCCATTGCCATTGCCCACATTTTCTGCAAACGCTGATACTTGCAACGTAATGGATTGGGGTGAGTTTCGCGGATGACTGAATTCCTTCGTGGAGCACTTGAAGAGCTGCCCTCCACTGCTTTGTCCGACCCAACGTCTTCAACCTTGCCTCGAATGAAGCAGCGCTTTCTCGAGATCCTCGCTGGCTGCTGAACATCCAAAGAGAGATTTAATCACCGCGGCCTCAAATACAAATCACAAATGCTCTAGGCTGGAACTTTTCCGCTTTGAGCCACGCTGGCCCTTGAGCCAAAATGGCTACGGATTGGTTTAATCGTTTTTCTTGTTGTTCCTGTCCCTTTCCGGTTGCGCATCACACGCTGGAGTCGTGTTGGGAATCAAGGTCCTCCAGGAGGCCCCAGTAGTTGGACATCACAGGATTCAGCACAACGGGAAGGGATGGCTGATGAGGATGGGATGTCGGATAAGGCGCGAGCGTGCTTAGGAAGTTATCCTCCTCTATTTCCTCCTCAGCAGAGCCAACTTCGACTCGCGCAGGCTGTGGGAGGCATGGTGAATGTCTTCGAACGCCACTCTGGCGTGTTCATAACTAGTGCAGTGGATTACATAGCGATCGAGCGGAAAATGACATGATAACCAGCTTCGACCCCAACAAATGATTTACTGCACGGTGGATATGGACGCCATGCGATGTGAGCTATGCGGTGTGAGCTAAGTGGTGTGAACTATGATCCGCCGTATGTGTTGTGGAATACATGCTGTGTGAGCAATGTGGTGTGAGCCATGCTCTGTGAGCTACTCTGTGTAAACTATGGTGTGTAATGCACGGCGTGTGGGCCAAATGATGTATGATGCGCAGTGTAAGGCACCTTGTGTAAGCTATGGTGTGTATGTTTCGTGAGCTGTGCGGTCTGCGCCAGGCTGTGTAAGCAATGTAGCGTCTGCGTGCCAGGCGGCGAGAGCCAGGACCTGCAAGCCAGGTGGCGCAAAAACTCCGTGGTGCGAGCTCTGCGGTGCAAGCCATGTGGGGCGAGGCGCCCACGGGCGGGCACACGGGCGACGCCTCGACAACACCCCCGTCAGCGCTGGGGGCCCCCGGGGCGCCCACGGGCGGGCACACGGGCGAAGCCTCGACCTGCCCACCAGCCCCCGGCGCTGGGCGCCCGCGGGCGGCCACGGCGCGGAGCCCAGGCCTGCCCGCCCAGCGCGAGGCGCCCGCCCGGCGCCCACGAGGGCGGTGCCCCCCGGGCGCCCACGTGCCGGGCACCGGCCGAAGAAACCGGACACGCCCAGCCAGGTGGTCCCGGGAACGAAGAAGGCAAGAACCCCCGAGTGCAAGCACTGCCTGCTGGCGGCGTGCAAGGGGACTAAGAGGAGGTCGGGGGAGGGGAGAGAAGGCTTCTTGGAATCTGGGGTCCCGAAGCGGTGCGGTGACGGACCGTGCGGTGACCTCCAAGTCCCCCAAGACCTCGCCGCACGGTCCGTCACCGCACGGCCTTGGGACCCCGGAGGCCCCCTGTCGCCCGAGACGTCCTCGGAGAACGACCGGGGTCCCAACACCGTGCGGTGACCCCGAATCCCGACCGACTCACCGCACGGTGTGGTCACCCCACCGTCTGGGGGCCCCCGCTTCGAAGGCGGCTGCCTCTCAGAACATGCGCCGGCCCTGCATCCAGAGGCGAGGCCCGCGCCCTGCTGAGAGAAGCAGGGGTGCGTCTCTAAGAAGCCCTCCCCCGTTCCCCCCTTTAAGCCCCGCTCCCCCCTTGCCCCGCGTGTGGGGAGCAGCTGTTTGGGCCCCTGTTGGCCGTGGTGGCTCCCATCGGCTAGAAGCAGGAGTGGCCCTGGGCAAGAGTGACCTTTGGTGCGCGGGCTGAGGGGGCGCAGCGTGGCCAAATCCGGGCGCGCCAACAGCCGGTATCGCATCGTGCTGAGCGATCGGGGGGACCCAGATCGGCGGTGGACAAACCTCCCTTTAGTAAACCTCCCCTTAATAAAAAGGCCTGGGACCGAAACCGACGGACCTCGACCCGCGAAAATGACGGCCGCGACGCCCTCTCGCGAACCGAAAACGGCCAATTCCTTAATCGACGTGTCAGGGTAGGAGATCTGTCCACCCCCGACCAGATGAGCCCGCACCAAAGGTCACTCCGGCGAAGGGTCACTCTTGCGCGTCATCGAGTCCGAGCGTGTCGAGCATCAGCGTCCGATGCCCTGAAGGAGGCTGCCGGCGGCAGGACCTCGGCTGGCCAACTGCACACTCCAAGCAAGCATTGCACCCCTGGGGCTCGAGAGGGTGCTGCGCAAAGCTGGCGTCGCAAAACTAAGCATGGGCAGAAACATTGGCCCTCATTTAGTATGGCCACGGAACGCAGTTCGTGAAGTTCAGTACTTCACGCCTTTACGATTTTGCGGTAACTCTTCGATTGATGTTGGCGTGCTGACCGTTGGCACACTGAGCCGTGAAAACATTGAGATCAGATCATTGCAATCAGGCCTCGTGAACGTGGACTCGTACCTGGTGCAATCGTGCAGTCGCTCGTTGTGGGTACGTGCCCTTCCGCCTTGCCATTAGATGTATCTGCTACAGCTCTGGTAACTTGTCTTGCGTCCGGGCCGCAAGGTCGTGCCAAGCCGAGGCATCAGACCACTACCTCATGGAATCGCGATACGGGCTACGGCGACTGAGCTGCTGCCCCAATGTTGTGAGACCCGCTGGTCTTCCACACGCGTACTCACACTCGCCTGGGCGCACGGCAGCACTGCAGCTCTTGTGGCAACCGCGAGGCACCCTTGGAGAGGGCGTCGTCCCAACAGCATGGCGCGGGCAATAATAATCTCCCACTACTCGGGGCGTCGGTGGAGGGGGTGCTAAGATACCGAAAGTGATGCTCACCAGAGCTCGGCGAGAGCGAGTCCTGGACATGAGCCCCAGGCGTGGCTGGCCATGGCGACAGGGGCACCCTGGGTGACCCCCAAAAAGCTGAAACGGAGAAAGGGCATCGGTGTCGGTGTGCTCTCTTACTCTGTATTGGGGGGCGTCAAAAGAAGTCTACAAGTAACTCCCCTCCCTGCCTCGGTCGCAGCGGTCCTCTCCGTTGCGGTACAGGTTCGTCAGGGAGCGGATGGGCCGCACCCTGAAGTGAGACGCCAGCCGGGTGACGATCTCGCGGTAGGTGGGGGCCCTGTGGAAGGAGGGGGGGAGAGAGAAGGAAGGGGGAGGGAGGAGGAAGGACGACGGCGCGGGATGAGGGGGGAAGGAGGAGGAGGAGGAGGAGGAGGAGGAGGAGGAGGAGCAGGAGGGATGATCTGAGCTGCAGAGAAACGCAACACGTAGCACGTAGCGTGTTAACACGGAGCTCAACACATAAACTAAAACCGAAGGTCTGGCGCGATGCGTTCGCCAAAACGTAGACCAACACGTGCCGAGCCAATTCGCAACATGCTACCACGGACACTGTTTGACACGGCACGTGCGCCGTGTTTTCAGCACGGGTTTGTCAGGGCAGCTAAAGGAATTGTGGATAAAGGAGAGAGGAAGGTTGGGGAAGGGGGGTGGACGACAGAAGGAGGGATGGGTTGGTATGGGCGCTCGGTCACCACTCTTTACAACCGTAAAGCCCACCCAAGTCGCACATTAAGTGAAACACAAGCCCACAAACATGCAACAGTCTCTTTTCCGAACCCATCTGGACTGCAAATGCCGCTCTTGGGGCGCAACCCGAAAAAACAAACTGCAGCAAACCCGAGTTGGCCACTATACCTGTCCAAAGCGCATCTGAAGGAGGGGGTCGATTAATAGACGCATGCCCGTCCCAAGGGATGAGAATCTGTAGCATCACACGTTTTCTCAATGACGATTGGCTGTTGTAAAATATGGAACGTCACACGTTGTTGCATGACTGTTTTTTTATGACGCTTGGTTGTCGCAAAACAAATCGCGTTGACTTATGACTATGTGAAACACCACACTTTTTATGAGTACTGGGCGGGTCGGTGGGCCTCTGAGGGGCAACGACAGGAGGGGACTGGCACAGGGGGGGAAGCATCGACCTGGAATCGGCGATGCACATCGCCGATAGATCGGCGATGGATACCCGAACTCGAAACCGCGCGTTCCTGGGCGGGGTGGGCTATCGGGCCCCTGTCGGCGATCCATGGGCGATTGGGGGTCGATGCAACCCCCCCCCTGAGCGTATCCCCATCCTCTCGTTGCCCCTGAGCCTTCCTCCCTGCCCGGAGGACTCCAGGGCGGGCGGGCTCAGGAGTGGAAGCCGAAGCAGTGCTGGGCCGCCCATGGGGCCCGTCCCAGGTGCAGGGATAGGGGGGGGGAGGCCAGGTGCAGGGATAGGGGGGGGGAGGGATTGGGGGGGGGGGGGAGGAGTTGAGACGAGAAAAACAGGCATGCGCCTAAACTGTTGTAGCTCCGCGAAGGTTTCTTGGATCGGCGATGGACACCCTCCCTGGCGCGCAGAGCGCGCCAGGGGCTGCGCCAGGGGCGCCGCCCGGGGGGGCCCAGCGCGGATCCAAGAAATCCGCGCGGAGCTCCAAGAGTGTATGTTTGTGCAGGTGTTCCTCCTTCGACGCATGCGAAGTGGAGGAGAGGGGGCAGGGTGAGGGAGGAGGGGGCGGGGTTGCACGAGAAGGAAACAGGAGATGGAGGAGTGATCCGAGTCAGGGCTGAGGGAGTTGAGGGGGCGGGGGTGCGCGAGACGGGAGGAAGTAGGAGCAGATGGATGGGTGAGCGGGGGCAGGGGTGAGGGAGGCAAGCGTAGCAACGAGGGCGAGGGAGGAGCAGGGAAGAGATGGAGCGGTAGCCTGGTATGTAAGATGGTCAAGGAAGGAGGAAGGGAGCGAGGAGGAGCCAGGAAGGAGGAAGCGGAGAAGAAGCCCATTATCGTCGCCCCCGCGGTGGCCCTGTACCAGGCCTGCCGCGATGGGAGGGGGAGAGCGAGGGAGGACAGCAGAGGGGCAGACAGGAGGAGCACGCAGGCAGCCATGCCGAAGGAAGAAAACGAAGGAAGCAACAGGAGGAGCACGCGGCTGCACTGGCCCGCGACTCCTCGCGAGCAGCTCGTCGGAGCCGAGGCAGATGGTGCGGTCAAACTTCATGCCTGTGTTGAGCCAGCAGTCCTGCCGGCTCGCTCGCGCTGCCGTGCCGCCTCGTCGCTTCCCGACGTCCCCCCCTGGCGGCGCGCACGCAAGGGGGCAGGGGGAGGAGGGACGACTTCTTGGAGAAGGAAGGCTGCTTCTCGGAAGGCGCCGACCGGCCCTACATCTATAGACGAGGCCCGCGCCTTCTAAGAAGCGTGGGTGCTCCTGAGAAGCCCCCTCCCCTCCCCCTACGCACCCCCATCTGCGCGTGGCCGATCCCCGCAGCCCGCGGCGACCGAGTACGCTGGACAGACGCCTGGCAGTCCACGCCCGCCCGACCCGCTCCGCTCTAGCCGCTGCGCGGCGCCTGCTGACGCCCTCCCCACTCCTGCGCAGAGCGCCCGTGCTGCGCAGGAGAGGCGCGGTGCTCATGCGGAGAGGACAGCGGCCCTCTCCCTCCTCCTCCTCCTCATCCTCCTCCTCCTCCTCCTCCTCCTCCTCTTCTTCTTCATAGTATTATTCTTCTCCTTGGTATTACGATTCGTATTCTTATTGTTAATCTCTTTACTATTATTAATAATTATTCCTTTTCCTATTATTCGTATTATTAGTATGTATCCTCCTCCTGCTTCTTCTTCTTCTTCTTCTTCTTCCTCGTCCTCCTCCTCCTCCTCCTCCTCCTCCATTCTCGCCCTCCCCAGTCTCCTGCGCTCCGTCACGGTCCCGGGGACGCTGTCGTCCCTCCTCCCCCTCGTCCTCCGCCTCCTCCTCCTCCTCCTCCTCCTCCTCCATCTCCTCCTCCTCCTCCTCGTCTTCCTCCTCCTCCTCCTCCTCCTCCTCCTCCTCCTCCTCCTTGGCGCTGCTCGGCCCTACCCACGCATCCCTGACACTGTTCGACGACTTTCGTTTCAGTTTTGATGCGTATCTTCCGAGCCGCCTCACTGCTAGCAGCCAGCATCCAGGAACAGCGCAGACGAATCGGCCTGCAGGCTGCACTTGCGGAGCATCCAGCTGCCCTGGCGCAGCCCCATCCTGGCAGCCATCGCTCGTGACCGCTTGCGGGAAACCAAATAGCAAAGCCTTCGCCTGCCTGCCCAAGGCGGCACGGCACGATCGAAGGTACTTCCACCCCCTTCCTCCATCCTGGCGCCCCAGGCTCCTGGAAGTTCAGCTCGGTCATGAGCCGCTGGAAGACTGCTCGGTCGCCCGACTGGCCGAGGAGGCTGGGATAGTAGTACGCCTCCGGGGGGCGCGGACGAGCGGGAGCAGGAGGCTCGGAGGAAGGAGCAGACACCGCGTGCGGGAGGAGAACAAGCACGACGGAGGTGCCAGCGAGGAGTGCCTGACGGCGAGGGTATGGGGAAAGCGGGCCTGGGCAGGACGGCCTGAGGGTGAAGAAAAATTGCCAATCTTCGGCGGTTCGCTCCCGAGAACATCCGAGCAGCATCGCCAAACTGTGACAAGCCTATCATCATGATCCACCCTCGGCAAACCTAAGTGATCCGCTTCGGGGGGCCCAATTCGCAGGCCTAGAGATTGATACCAACACCAAGATCGGCGGTGTGCCTCCACCGAGGGAAGACGATCCCGATCTCGGTGATGGTGGTAATATTCTGGCTTCCAAGGTGATCGAAAGATTACCACCAACACCGAAATCTAGGATCATCATCCCCATGTGGAGGCAACACCCTGTGCTGGTGTTGGTGCCCACTTCCATGCCTCCAACCTGCTTGCCGCCTGCGGCTCCTGCTGCTTGCCGCCTGCGGTCGCGTCCTCTCCATTGGACCGACGGCCAAAGGCGCGGGCTGCCCGAGACCTGCGGGGGGCCCGACGCCCCGGCTCTCTCGGAGAGGGTGGCCGCCCACGACGGCTCTCGGCAGAGACGGCCTCTCGGGCCTGTACCCCTGCAGGGGGATTTTGGACGAGAAATATAACATACCCCCAAACATACTCCAAAATGGTAATAAGAAACACTCCCAGCATCGTCCCCAGATTATTATTCTTTGACTATTTGTAAATTCTTCCCCTGTAGAGGGACATTTCCGACTTCACACGAGGCCCCTGGAACACCAGCCCACACGATCCGCCCGCCACGGCCACGTGCACCTGCCCGAGCGCGAGCCTGCGGCACGCTCGTGCTCGAGGGGGGCAGGTGGGGCAACGGGCGGCCGCCGACGGCGGAGGGCCAGAAGGTCTGGGGCGGCTCGCGCCGGTGCTGCCACGCCGCTGCGGAGCTCCGGCTTTTTGGGTCGGCGGCGACAGGCTTCCGAGAAGCGGTCAGGAAGCACTGCGGCGCAGTGGCAGACGAACTGGGGCACAAGAGGCGAGCACCATTGCGAGAGCGCGTGGGCGGGGAAGCCCAAGAGGGGGGCTCCTCCTCCTCCCCCTCCTCCACCTCCTCCTCCTCCTCCTCCTCCTCCTCCTCCTCCTGTTCCTTACTGGAGAGACCACACGAAGAGCGCGGAGCACCGGCAGGACCAGGTCGGCGGGGAAAGGGCAGCCAGCGCGGTCATCGCGGCAGTGGCCGCTCGGAGGGGCACGGCGTCTCCTGCCAGGAATGCTTCCCCATCTTACCAGCCGCGGTCAGCATTGAAGCCCTCCAGGGGTCTTGAAAATCCGCGGCGTGAGTGGCACACCAGCTCCTGAGGGCCATCAACTGACAGCGCCAAAATGTATGAGATAGAGCATGGTCACGCTCAATACGTCTCCCCGACTCATCGTGCTCTGGGCTCAGTAGCATCTGCTGCTGTTGCTGCTGCTGCTCCTCCTCCGTCCACCTGAGGCCTTCGCTCCGTTGCAGAGCTCGCCGAACGGTCGGCGAGGCATGATCTGATCTGGAGAGGAGGAGGAGGAGGGTAAGGAGGAGGACGAGGAGGAAGAGGAGGAGGGAGAGGAGGAAGAGGAGGAGGAGGAGGAGGAGGAAGAGGAGGAGGAAGAGGAGGAGGAGGAGGAGGTGGAGGAGGAGGAGGAGGGAGGACGAGGAGAGGGTTCAACGGCGACGTTGTTGATCGAGAGCCCTCATCCCGCTGGCACCTGGCATGGGGTGACTGAGAGACATCTTCGCCCGTTACGTGGTATGCATTTGCCGTATCATTAGCACGACTAGTAAACGTGATGATATAAACTACTTTAATCGAATAAAACATCAGTGTTCCAATACAGCGGAAGCTTGGGATCGGCATCCTGACCCGTCGCGGTCCGCCGCGTTGCAGCATGCAGAGCCTAGACTGCGACGGATACCGGAGGATGAGAGCAGCAGCAGCAGCAGCAGCAGCATCAGAGGGAGCATAATGAGCAGAGCCAGGGGAAGCAGTGAAGGAAGAGAGTTACCAGTAGGACATAGCGGCCAGAAGAAGACGACGAGAAAAAGATGAGTGAGTGAACAAGCGGCAAGAGGTGAAGAAGAGGGAGGTGAAGCCTGCCAGATGGGAAGGGAGGGGCGAGACAAGGTTATGCCCCACCCCCGTGGTGGAAGGGATGGAAGGGATGGAGCAAAGCTGAAGACATGAAAGGGATTTGATAAGACGAGTGGCCTGTTTTCGTGACGCGAGTTCATTGTACCTCCGACCGCGAGCGCGGAAGCGGCGTGCTAAGAGGGTCGCCAACTCCTCCAGGAGGCGGACCTCCAAAGGGCCAGCCAAGAAGCCCTCCACGCCACCCCAAAAGACGCCCCAGAGACGTCCAACGAAACTCCCCGACCTTCGATCCCCTCTCCTCAACCTCCGATTTTCAAAAGGTGGTGCTGACCCCCGCTGAGTGTAGGGGGAGGGGGGGGGGGGGGCAACAAAAAGTGCCGATACCGCGACTCCCCGGACCTCTCCTGGGCTGCAGCCTGACCAGAACCTGAAGAAATTGCAGCCGTGGCGAACAGGGCTTCAGAACGAGCGGAAGCATCGGTACCTCTCACCCCCCTGACCACCCTGGAGCCCGATTTCTTGATTTGCGATGACGCCCATGACCGGCCGCCCCCCCCCCCCCCTCGTCAGCCTGGTCACGTCACGATTCGCGCCTGCGCCGTCTGGGAACGAGCCGTGACGTGACTGGCCCCCTCCCCCACCCCCTGGGTCACGCCCGTTGTCTAGAGGCCTGCCAAATGGGGTCAAAGTAGATGAGGTCAGAGGATCGCGCCGCGTCGCCGGTGCATCGGCGATGCTCTGGCGACGTCGCTCATGCAGCAGCGGCGTTGTCAGCGTTGAGAGGCTCGGGCTCCACAGCAAGCCGCATCGCCGATGCATCGGCGATGCGGCGGAATCCTCCGACCCCCTCCGCTCTGACCCCACCTGGGAGGCCTAGAGACTTTCGCCAGGCGATGCACAGAGCGACCCCCCCCTCCCTCGGTTCCTCCTCGGGCGGAGGGGGAGGAGGAGGAGGAGGAGGAGGAGGAGGAGGAGGAGGAGGACGAGGAGGAGGAGGAGGAGGAGGAGGCGGAGGAGAGCGGCGCGTATCTCGCAGCGACAGAGCGCCCCCTCTGGGGCGCGGCGAGCCGCGACGGGGCAGCGAGGCGCCGCCCAGCAGCGCACGTGCGCCGGTCTGCGCTGGCGCGGCGCCCCCGTGCGCTCCTCGAGACACTTCGGGCGCGGCCGTCGTCGTCGTCGTCGTCGTCGTCGTCGTCGTCGTCGTCGTCGTCGTCGTCGTCGTTGCCGTCGTCGTCGTCGTCGCCGTCGTCGTCGTCGTCGTCGTCGTCGTCGTCGTCGTCGTCGTCGTCGTCGCCGTCGTCGTCGTCGTCGTCGTCGGCCTCGCCACAATCGTCGTTGTTTTCGTGGTCGTTGTCCCGTCATCGTGGCGCCGAATCGAGGTTCGACGATCGCGGTTCGGGGATCGTGGCTCGAGGGCCAAGGCTCGAGGCAAGGAGAGGGACGAGGAAGAGGAGGAGACGACGGAGGAGGATTGAGGGTCGGGGTTCGAAGGCTAAGGAGCTTGAAGGCTTGGATGTCTGTCCCAGCTGTTGAGCCTCTGGGCGGCTTCTCGTCGAAGCAGCTGGATCCGCCTGGAAATTCAGGCAACAACGCACCTCAGGAGAAGGCATGGGGGTCGACTTGCTGGGGAATGGTGAGAAGAACAGTGAAGGAGAAAGAATGAGGAGGAAGGATGAAGGGAAGAAGGAGGATGAAGGAGGAACAATCAATAAGGATGAAGGAGGAAGAAAGAGGAGGAGGGAGCTGGAAGACCAGAGTCAACGCAAGACGCTGCAACGATGCTGCAATACAACCTCCCGTTCCCATCCTTCCTCACACGTCCCTACAAGCTTTCCTTTTCACTTCAAGAGGTGCCCACTCATGCCCCGAAGAGGCCCTCAAGAAGGCCGCAGAAGAACCAACGAAGTCACCAGGAGCCCTGAAACGGTAGCTCAGAGGCCGCCCCCCAGACCTGCAAGAGGTCCCCAAGATACCCAGCACCAGACGCGAAGGAAAAGGAGGACACACCAGCAACAGCTACGCGTAGGAGGCACGACGGAAAGCGGCAAACAACACACAAATTCGGAAGCCGCACACCTTCTCTGTTTGGCGCCAGCGGAATCGCAGAAGCCTCTCCAGCAGTCTACGAAGTAGCGTAAAAGACCTACAAAACACAGCAACGCCTAGGTACGCCTCAGTGGGATGAGCTTGGTCAGACTGGGTTAGGCTGAAGCAAACCAGGATACAGCTCTGATATGATCACCACACATGCGCGATGACATGACACGCTAAACGCGCTGGAGAGAGCTGAGCCACGCTAAGGTTGATTAGTTGTGGCAAACATGAAAGGAAGGTGCACGCGCAACACAAACCCCATTGGTTCGATCGTGCGCGAAATGCCGTTGGCATCGGTACATGGGGCGCCACAGACATGTGCAGCAGGGCAGATGCACTGGAGACACAAGCAAGGCGCAGGTGCTGGCACGAACGAAGGAGTCATACCGTAGTCAGCAGGCAGAAGCATACGCAGCGCATTTTGGCCCAGGCATGAGCGAGGCAGGAGTACATATTGTTCGACATCACCACAGTGCAGAGGGGGAGCGGTGCGCCGACTCCTTCAAGAGAAGCACGTTGGATCAAACCTCTTGGCATACGACGTGGGAGCCCGCAGCGCTGGTAGATCCATGGCCACGTGGCACATCTAGATCACTGGTCCAGCTCCATACGCCACCTCACTTCGCGCCCGGCGCCCCGCGATGCGCGAAGCAGGGCCGTCTTCGCGCCATCGCGAGGCCACCTTGGAGGAGGGCAGCTCTCCATTCGAGACCCAGACGCGCGAAGCGCGATTACCTTCGCGCCCCAGGGGCTGACTCAAAGGAGGAAGAGACGAACTGCCAGAACATAAACTGCAGGAGATCCGCTCGGATTTCCCGAATCGGCGCCATGGACCCATCTCCCTGGCGCGCGGGGCGCGCCAGGGGCGGTGACGACAGCGCCGCCAGCGAGGCTCAGCACCGACAAGAGATCCGCGGGGACCCGCCGAAAGCTTGCGTTCAGCCGGGACAGGCACAACAATCCCCACCCCCGCCTGGGACACCTTGGCCCCGCTGGCCGACCTCCCCCCTTCCTAGGTGGGGATAGGCGCCGTCCCCTTCGCGTCTAGCCGCACCGATCACCACCAAGAGTCTAGAGGGGGTACGCCGGAAAGGCTAGCTTGCCCTTTCCCAGTGGGAGTTGCTCCAAGTGGGGGTTGCGGGGATGGTTCTGACGATGATGATTTATGTTTTGGTGCTCCTCTTCGACCTGGGGCTTCCCATCTCGATGCGGTCAGGAACTGTTTGCTTAGCGTGTCGATGCGAAGGCCCTGGCGACAAGATATGCCTTGCGAGCGGATAGCGTGCCGCTCCGCTCCGCGGGGCAAAAGGCTTCGAGAAGTTGGAGGCGTTGACGCTTGGGAATGGAGACGTGGATAGCGTGTCACGCGGAGGCGCGGTGTGCCAGAACTGGCGGCGCGACACGCTGAGCCAGAGTTCATGACCGCACCCCCCCAACGTTGCCCCTTAGTTTCGGGTTATACATCGCTCTCCAGCGGCCGTTCGAGACGATCCGGGCACCCCTGGAACGCTCTCGGCGAGGCACAGCCGCTGAAAGGCATCCCGAGGTTGGAAAACCGCAGGGGCCCGTCGAATGTATCAACAACATCTATAACCCCGAGTCTCGAATGACACTATTCGGAGGAAGGCGAAGCCTTTCGGATAATGGGCGATCTTGAGACGCAGATGCTTTGTACGTCAGGGACTCGATGGACGTGCTGCCAGGGCCCGCTGTGTTGGCAACGGACCGCAAGTGCTCTTGCCCAGCTTCGTCGATGCCGGCCGCGCCGCCAGGGCGAGGCTCGGGGGATGCTGGTTTAGCCGACCCCATACGCAACACGCAACACGCAGCGCGTCGGCATGGAGCTCAAAACGTCGACTGGAAACTTAGGTCTGGGGTTAGGTCGGGCATGTCCCCCTACAGGGGGATTGGGACGACAAGTAAAACAGTATTCAAAAAAACAAAATTGACAAAACATACTCAGACAATAGTCCCCAGACTAGCCGTTGACAATGTTTGAATCTTCCTCCTGTAGAGGGACAGGCCCGACTTAAGTCTGGGGCGATACGCTCGCCAAAGCGTGGGCCAGCACACCGCCGAGCCAACACGCAGCGCGTTCGCATGGAAGTTTTGAACGCGGCACGTGCTGCGGTCCAGCGCGGGCGTATCAGTATCAGGGCAGCGAAGATGCTGGAGAAAGGCACCGGAGGTCGGCGGCGAGAGAGGGGGTAAAGTGAGAAGGGGCGGGCCTTCTCAGCAGGCTCGGAAGTCCACCAGCCTTCTGAAAGGTTTTCTAAGCCTTCCCCGAAGACGCACACAACTTCTCGGAAGTCCCGCCGCCTTCTGTGAGTATCGTTTAACCGATCCCCATCCCCAGCGCACTGGCCTGGGCCCCACTGGCCGATTTACGCCCCCCAGATGGGGATATGGGTCGTTCCCTTCGGGTTTCGAAGGGTGTATCCCCAACGGGGGGGGGCGTCGGTGGGGGTCTCGAAGGGGATGGAGATGGGGATGGGGATCGGTTAACCGATGCCGATTCTGAGAAGGCCTCCTCCTCGCTTCCTCCCCCCGCTCGCCGCCGAGCACATCGGAGGTGCGGCGCAGCCCTCCGAGGCCCCCCGCGGAGGAGGTCCTGCGCGCCGCCGCCACCCGCCCCCTGCAGCGGCGCCGCGGCTCCGCGGCGGCCGCAGGCTGCTGCTGCTGCCCGCCACCGCCGCGGTGCCTCGCGGCCGCGCCGCGGCCACGCCGCCGCGCCTGGCCCGCTCCCCTCGGCGGCGACGGCGACCGGACTCGGGCCTTGGCCGCCCCGATGCGCAGCACGCAAAGCACGCAGCGTGCTGGCACGGAGCGCAGCACGCCTTCTGAAAAAGAGCGCAGGTCTGGGGCGACGCGCTCGCCAAAGCGTGGGCCCACACGCGCCAGGCCAACACGCCGCGTGCTGGCACGGACCTTTCAAACACGGTACGCGTTGCGTTCCAAGACGGGCGCATCATCGCAGCCAGGACTCGGAGTTGCCATGAAAGGGCCCGCGGGGGCGCGGCAAGCTGGCGCCGTGGCGCCGCGCTGCAGCGCAGTCCGAGGAGCAATCAATGAAAGTGGAACGCGCCAGTTGGGTAATAGCATGTGAGCAGGGGCACTGGAATTCCTAAAATGGGCCTTGCACGCTCATGCTGCCTACACCTACATCTACAGCGACGACGATCGTGGGCGAAAGGCGCAAACTTTGAAGGATAAACGCGTCATATGCATAACCGTTCGGAGGTCCGCGCGGATCTCTTGGATCCGCGCTGGAGCCCCTCTCCCTGGAGCGCAGTGCGCGCCAGGGACGGCGTCGGGAGCGCCGCCAAGGGCGTCTGGCGCTGATCCAAGAAATCCGCGTGGAGCTTCGACCGTCTATGTCCGTGCGGTGTTCTTTTTTCTTCGGAGCTTTCGAAGCCCGTCGCGGGCGAAAAACATATCCGTGTCCGCGGCCACGCGGGCTGGGCCCCTGGGCCGCGACCCCCCGCGGACATGTTTTTTTTTCGTAGACGCCCTGCACGGAACGTATCCGTGCGACCGCATGTCCGCGGATCGCGCCCCATAACCCAGACCCGGCGCAGGTGGGCAAAGCACCGCACTTACGCGGGTCCACAGCAGGAGAAAATGGCAATACCGCTGCCCTGTCCTCGTCGCCATGGTTGGATTCGCCTCGACATCCCGGTCAGAACAGACCCCAGGAGAAGCCTCTGGGGTAGCGGTATCGGTAACTTTCTGTTCCCCTACGGATCCGTGCATAAGCCGCGACTCCTGGTGGTCTGAAAGCTGCGGGAAATATACATCGTCCGTTCTGGCCTGCGCTCATCTCTAACCCCGCTTTGTCCTCAGGACGTGACCGAGAGGCCCTGGGCAGATCAAGCAGGAGTAGAAGAAATTGGGCCACCGAGAACCGCGCCGCAAGAACAAACAGGAATGATCGGTGTGCACAGGGTGCGGAGGCCCAACGATCTTACCATGTCCCTGGGTGCATGGCTGAAGTGGGGCAAGAAGAAGGAGGAAGCAGGGAGAAGGGAGAAGAGGAGAAGAGGAGAAGCAGGAGAACTCGGGAGAGCGCAGGGGCGCAGCAGCACTTGCAACGGAGACCACGATGCCTCGCGATGAGGATGATCATGCTAATGATATTCGTAATGATGGCAATATTGACTTTGCTGATGGTAGTGCTTTCGATGGTGGTGCTGCTGCTAGTGATGATGATGACGACGATGACGGTGACAGTGACGATGAAGACGATGATGATGATGATGATGATGATGATGCTGCTGCTGCTGCTGATGATGATGATGATGATGATGATGATGATGATGATGATGATGATGATGATGATGGTGCTGATGATGATGATGATGATGATGATGGTGGTGATGGTGGTGGTGATGTTGATGATGGTGGTGACGACGACGACGCAGGTGCGTCGACCAAGCGGAGGAGAAAACCAAACGTATAACACTTGCCAAATAAACTACCATCAGAGTGAGGGGGCCGAACGGTCATTCATTGGACCCAAGGAAAATAACCTGGCTAAAGTGAGATTCCGCGGCGTTGATTATGTGTGTTTGTTGTTGTGTGTTGTTGTATGCTGTTGTTTGCTGTTGTTTGTTGTTGTTGTTGTTGTTGTTGTTGTTGTTGTTGTTGTTGTTGTTGTTGTTGTTGTTGTCGTCCTCGCCCGCGACCCCCCGCGACCCCCCGCGACCCTGGGGCCCCCCGCGACCCACCCCGCGACTCGAACCCGCGAGCCACCCGCGACCCACCCGCGACCCACCCCGCGTCCGCAGCCTCACTCTTCTCCGCAGCTGCGGGGTGCTACGCATGTGGTCATGCCGCCGCACCGTGCAAGACGAACGCCTTACCCCTTTTCTCCTCCACGCGCACACGAGCGGGAGCAGCCGTCGTGCATTTACCCTCAGTTCTGAAGAGCCACCGCGTGCAATCCGAATAGGCGCCAGGCTGGTCCCTACGGCCAGCGGCTCTCTTTGAGCGCCTCTTGCGCCTGGGGTGCTTCTCGCAGCGCTACCGCCGAAAGGCGTCGCCGCAGGCGGCGCCGCGCGCCCCAGCGCAAGCGACGGGTAGACCCCTCGGCAGCAGAGGCGCCCTCCGTGAGGCCGGCCCACAGCCCGCCGAGCTCGGCCTGAGCGTCTGCCGCCATGTCCGCAATCGGCTGGAATAGAGACTGGCCGAAATCAGCAGATGCCCAAATGGCCACCACCAGCGCCAGCACTGCTGCTGCCAGCAACAGCTTGGAGCAACAACGCAGCCGCCAGGAGTGGTACACTGTGTGGGCCTCGGCGTCGTAGCTACCGTAGCCGTCGCCGACGTAGCTGTAACTCTTGACCATGTCGAATCTGCCCTGGCCCTCGCCGACATAGATCCATGTGTGCGTGGTGTCCGCACCTCGGACGGGTCAAGTGCAGCACCGACTGTCCTCCATGCCCCTCACCCCCCCTTCGGGCTCCCTCCCAGTGTCCAGTGCCGCTTCCGAGCAGGTGCGCAGCCGAGCGGAAGCGGGAAGAAGAAGGACCCGGAGCTGGAACTCGCACAAGAAAGTCTGCGCGAGGTGGCTAAGCATGTTGCGGCCAGGGCATCCAGTCACTTGGCCGGCGGAGCGCGCAAGTGTGCATTGCGAGGGTAAGCGGTCTTCTGACAGGATGGGGGGGTGCTGGAGACCATCGGAGGCTCCCAAGAGAGCTTCTGAGAAGGCGGGGGGTCCAAGGAGCGCGTCAACAATTCGGGAGGCAGCCCCACCTCGCGCAGAGTGCGGACGCCATGCGGGCGGGGCAAGAAGGTCCAACATCCTGTGAGTCTGGCCTCGACACCTTGCCTCAGGCTGCGGACGCGGTAGGGAAGGGTGGGGGGTAACGGCGAGGACCACTTGAAAATTACCCCATTGAGGAGGTAACTTTTGTGAGGTCTCCGTCAGAACGAGCCGGACTGGGGGGGCCAGTGAGCTGGATGAGGCTGGATTAAGCCCAGGATTCAGCGGGATTCAGCCGGATTGGAAGAGACCAAGCTGGCATACCACCAACCCCGACTCAGAATTCAACCCCCGAAATGTTGCATCATAGACCCCCCTCCTCTTCCGCAATGTCCCCGCACGTGGCTCAAAATGACAATTCACAACTATACTCTCGTCTGCTTGCTTTAAGAGCCGCGATCTGGCTGCTCGTGCGCGCATCGAAATCGAGCACTCCTCCACCTGCTGCACATGCCAGGTTGAGTGAAAAGTCTGGAACTCCTCCGCCCTGGGACCGAACCAGCATTTTGGGACCGAACGACAGACTGTGGGACCCAACACAAACAACTGTTCGGACCGATCTGCTCGGTCCCAAAAGTTGTTGTTCGGTCCCAGCTCCTCCTCCCTTGGGCCCCTGGCGTCGTGGCTTCACGATTTGTTTTTTTGCATAAAAAAATCGTGGCTCCACGGCCTGGCGACGGCGACGTCGGCGGCAGCGGCCCTGCGGGCGGCGACCGCCGCAAGCACCTCGCGGCTCGCAGCACATGCCGCCCCCCCGCGTGGACAGGCTGCAGAAGGGCTCCTCTCGGGGAGGGGGCCCCAGAGGGGAGGGGCGGGTGGGAACGGGGGGGGGGGCCCGAGACCCTGGCGCCCCCTTCTCTGGAGCAACGGGCGCCTTCGCCCGGCTCCTCGGGCCACGGGGCCCTCACAGATCGATCCGGCTCGCAGAGAGAGACGCCAGAAAGATTGGGCCCGGGGCTCCGGTCGTGATTTTCTGCGATGCTGCAGCTGCTGCTGCAGGGTCAGATCTCAGGGGAGGGGGGAGGAAGAAGGGATGGGGGCCGACGACGACGACGGCGACGACGACGGCAAGCGAGAACGGCAACAGCGACGACAACGACGACGGCGACGACAACGACGACGACGACGGCGACGAAGACGGCGACGACGACGACGGCGACGAAGACGGCGACGACGACGACGCCGACGGGGGAGGACGAAGCGGAAGGGGGGAGGGGGATCGGTGGGCGGGGAGGAAGGCGAACGGGGAAGAGGGCGGGAAACGAGGAGGGGGATCGGGGGGTGGGAAGGGGGGAGGCAGGGGCAAGGGAAGAAGGGGGAGGGGGAGACACGAGATTGGGGATGAGAACGGGGATAGAGCAATGAGGAGGAGGGGGAAAGGAAGGAGTCGCGGAGAGATTTAGTGGAAAGGGGGAAGGGGAGAGGAAGGGGAGAGCGGAAAGGAATTGGGAGAGGGAGGGGGGAGAAGAAAGGCTGCTGCTGCTCCTTCTCCTCCTCCTCCTCGTCTTCATCCCTCTTCTACTCCTACTCCGCGAGGGTGGTGTTCAAAGACGAAGAGGAGCGGGGACACTGGAGAGGTCGAGGGAGGAGGACGAAAGACAAAGCGAGGAGGCCGATGCAAATCCGCCGATCCTGTCGGCGTGTGTGAGGGGCTTGTCTGTTCGAGTCGTCGTCTCCGTCAGTCGTCGTCTCCGTCGTCCCCTTTCCCTGCACCCTCCTCCTCAAGCCTGTCAGCGAGAGAAACAATGTTGTAATCGAGTCGAAGGGAAGCCCCTTCTCGTTGATCCCCGGGGGGGGGAGCTCAGATACGCATCAACACCGGGGGGTCTGGGGGCCTCAAAAAGTACCAAGACGGGCCAGGAGTGCCCCAAGAGGCCCAAAACGACTGTCCAAATGGGCCCCCAATCTCCAAACGATCGGTCCAAAACGCCTTCACGATCGCCCAGGAGGCATCCAAGACGCCCTTAGAGGCCTACAAGAACACACCCGAGAACGCCCCAAGATGCAAAATCCATTTGTTCCCCACATCCAAAGTGGGGTTATTGTTTTCTCTGCACACCCCCCGCGCAGGATCTCACACCCTCTCTCTCTCTCTCTCTCTCTTCCTCTTTTTTCGCGATCATCATCATCAGTCATCATCATCATGACCCATGCCTCTCCTCCTCAGCACCATCACACTTACCCATACACCACTCGATCGCTCACTCACTCACTCACTCACTCACTCATCATGATCATCACATGAGGATATCATCCGTTGGCGTCACACATCACTCAGTCAGTCCGTCACTCACTCGAGTATCAAGCGGGAGCGTCGTCTGTGAGTGAATTGCGAGGAAGTCTCAGGCGGGAGCCTCTCCCTATGGGGCCCGCAGATCATCTTACTAATCCGAGGCGGGTCATCGGGATCCTGTAACTGTCGTCACTTTTGGGCTCCTGGGGCGTGAATTTGGAGGAAGTATCAGGCGGGAGCGTCGTCTGTGAGTGAATTGCGAGGAAGTCTCAGGCGGGAGCCTCTCCCTATGGGGCCCGCAGATCATCTTACTAATCCGAGGCGGGTCATCGGGATCCTGTAACTGTCGTCACTTTTGGGCTCCTGGGGCGTGAATTTGGAGGAAGTATCAGCGGGAGCGTCGTCTGTGAGTGAATTGCGAGGAAGTCTCAGGCGGGAGCTTCTCCCTATGGGGCCCGCAGATCATCTTACTAATCCGAGGCGGGTCATCGGGATCCTGTAACTGTCGTCACTTTTGGGCTCCCGGGGCGTGAATTTGGAGGAAGTATCAGGCGGGAGCGTCGTCTGTGAGTGAATTGCGAGGAAGTCTCAGGCGGGAGCCTCTCCCTATGGGGCCCGCAGATCATCTTACTAATCCGAGGCGGGTCATTGGGATCCTGTAACTGTCGTCACTTTTGGGCTCCTGGGGCGTGAATTTGGAGGAAGTATCAGGCGGGAGCGTTGTCTGTGAGTGAATTGCGAGGAAGTCTCAGGCGGGAGCCTCTCTCTATGGGGCCCGCAGATCATCTTACCAATCCGAGGCGGGTCATCGGAAACCTGTAACTGTCGTCGCTTTTGGGCTCCTGAGGCCTGAATATGGGAGAAGTATCAGGCGGGCGCTCCATCCCTGTGGGGCACGCACTTCATGTTCGAACCCGAGCGGGTCATCCGAGCGAGCTTTTTGGGCTCCTCAGTTCCTGCGGCCTGAACAAGGGGGAAGTATCAAGCGGGAACTTTGTCTGTGGGCGGTGCGGGTAGTCCCGTCTGAGGACCGTCTCTTGTCGTCACTTGGAGGATCGAAGGGGAACTCGCTCCTGCGGCCTGAATATTCTCTTTCGACTTGCCCACGTCCAATTGCTGGCCAACCTTGTCGTCGTCGGCGGGAGAGGGAACTTGAAAAGGTTCACTCTCCCGCGTTCGTTTGGGCTGGGGAGGGAACTTGAAAAGGTTCACTCTCTAGCTGCGGGAGAGGGAACTTGAAAAGGTTCACTTTCCCGTTCGTGGCAGGATTGGGCTGGAGAGGGAACTTGAAAAGGTTCGACGTCTCTAGCTGCGGGAGAGGGAACTTGCAAAGGTTCCCTGTCCCCCCTTGTCGTCGGAGTGAAGGGGGAACTTGAAAAGGTTCACCCTTCATTCGCGGGAAAGGGAACTTGAAAAGGTTCACTTTCCCTTGGAGAGGGAACTTGCAAAGGTTCACTCTCCAGCAGCGGGAAAGGGAACTTGCAAAGGTTCACTTCCCCGCGCGTTCCAACTGGAGAGGGAACTTGAAAAGGTTCCCTCTCCAGCAGCGGGAAAGGGAACTTGCAAAGGTTCACTTTCCCGCGCGTTCCAACTGGAGAGGGAACTTGAAAAGGTCCCCTCTCCAGTTTTTTTCTGACCCCCCCTTTTCCTAACACCGATGTTTCAATGGACTAAGGGGTCACTAACGCAATTTTTTTCTCGGGCGTCGGGGGAGGAATCGCGTTGGCCGGAAACGGAGCTGAGCCTGGCGCGGGCGCTCGATGGAAAACCCTCACGAAACGCTTTGAAATCGATGATTGCGGATGACGAGCAGCACATTTTGCAATTTCCCCATAGGGGGATGGAACGCAATGTACGTTTTTCTTTGGCATGCGTCACGAAAACGGCCCCTCGAGAACGAAAACGACGCAACGCCCTATTTTCATTATGAAACAATTAGCATTTGAGAGAGTTTTTCATAGATGCACGTGCCCGGGGGTCCTGGAGGAGGAGGAGGAGGAGGAGGAGGAGGGGCAGGAGGAGGAGGAGGAGGAGAGGAGGAGGAGCAGCAGGAGGAGGAGAGGAGGGAGGAGGAGGAGAGGAGGAGGAGGAGGAGGAGGAGGGAGGAGGAGGAGGATAGGAGGAGGAGGAGGAGGAGGCGAGGAGCAGCAGGAGGGGGAGGAGGGGGAGGAGGGGGAGGGGGCCAGCGCCAGACCGAGTCGTGAGGAGGGGTCGGAGGAGGAGGAGGAGGAAAGAGGAGGAGGAGGAGGAGGAGGAGGAGGAGGAGGAGGAGGAGGAGGAGGAGGCGGAGGAGGAGGAGGAGGAGGGGCAGGAGGAGGAGGAGGAGGAGGAGGAGGAAGAGGAGGGGCAGCAACGTCAACATCGGCGATGTCGGGCGGACGTTGCTAGGGGCTAAGCGTGCGAAGGTCCTCTCCTCAGGCCGGACGAATGTGTGCGACAGGGAAAGGAGGGGGGTACGAAATCTGATGCATTCAGAGAAGGGGTAGACAAGGGAGGAAGGTACAAGGAGGATAGGAGGCAGCAGGAGGAGGAGGAGGAGGACGAGGAGGCAGGCGGAGGCAGGAGGATTCAGAGGAGGGGTAGTCAGGGTGGAGGAAGGAGGAGGAGGAGGAGGAGGAGGAGGAGGAGGAGGAGGAGGAGGAGGAGGAGGAGGAGGAGGAGGAGGAGGAGGAGGAGGCCGTGGAGAGCACCTGCCAGAGTTCCGTAGAGGTGTTGCCGCGGCGTTTCGGGCACGTCGACCAGCGCGTGGACCCGCTGCCATTCTCTGTCATCGAACGAGACCAGTCGCGCTTCGACGGGGGCAGCGAGCTGGACGCGCTCCGCGAAGAGAAGCAGGCGGGCGCGGAGCTGACCGAGGACCAGGAGACCTTCCTGGAGACCGAGGACCGGGACTCCTGGCTCCGGCCCGATCTGCCGTTGCGGGACGCCACAGGCCGCGAGTTGGCGCCGGGGGAGAAGGCACCGCCGCGGCCGTCCTCATACGGCATGCCCCGCGTACCGGCGGCGCGGCCTCGTGCAGCAAGACACCGGCGCGGGCGAGCCGGCGGCCCGCGGGGTTGTCCCAACGGTCTGCTCGGACGCGCCCGCGGCTCAGTCGGGGCAGCAAGGACTCGGCCAGACGACACTCGCCGCGGACGAGGAGGCGCCGCCCCCGCCGCCGCCCCCGCCAGGAACGGAAGAGAATCGTGAGGTCTGGGAGCGCCTCTTCTCGAGGGACGCCCGGGAGCTCGCCAAGGAGACGATGACGCACGTGTGCGGAGAGAGCTGCTACAAGTACTCGGGCAACAAGACCACGAAGATCTGCCGCCACGGCTTCTACTACATCGTCACGCTTGCGGATTGGCGCAGGCGCAGGCGAGGGAAGCCTCTGCGGAACGCCATGTTCGTGGTGCGATCCTCGACGCACGGCATGCAGGGTCGTCTGTTGCACTTCCAGCTCCACCCGTCTGAGTGCATTACCAACTACGCCGGCGCCGCGGCTGGACGCTTCAACCTGGATGCGCAGGACCTCCGACGAGTCAGCGACCCCAAAGCGTGGTTGGACGAGGGCGAGGTGCTCCCGCACGTCGGCTCGCAACCCAAGCTGGGGTACATGGGCACGTACGAGCTGGGCGATGCCGACGCTTACGTCAACCGCCCGGAGGTTCCGGAGAAGCCGCTCGCGTGGACGGACGACTGCTCGCCGGAGGAGTGGCGCGACATTATGCTGCAGTGCCAGACGGAGGACGCGGAGGGCGAGGACGCGGATGACGTGGACGCCGCGGACACCTTCGCGGACCAGCTGGAACTGGATGCCCAGGCAGCGTTCAGCGACGGCCTGAACACGGGCTTCTACATCAACTCCTACACGACGAAGCAGTGCCCCAGCATGGAGGGCGTCCTCGTGGAGATGCGGCGCGGCCTGGAGCGGCTGCAGGCGCAGCGACAGGCGCAGCAGGACAAGATGAAGCTGGAGCTGCAGCAGCGAGGAGACGACCCCGAGAAGACTCTGTCCGCCGCCGACCGGAGAGCGCTCGGGGGTAAGTCCAAGTTCGGGGAGACGCTGGATCTGGTGAAGAATCTGTCCGCATCGTACCGCCGATGCTACTGGAAGAGCGGGCCAGAGATGCTGTTCCCGATCTTCTACGGCCACCTGACCTACGCGTCCCACCGCTGCTGGACGATCTTCATCAAGAAGGGCGTCTTCCTGGCGGCGGAGGCGTGGCGACGCGAGTACGGGCGCTCTCTCCGAAGGCCAAGCAGGACGGGGGCCGCGCCCCGGTGCATTACCTCGGGCGCGGCGTCGACCCGTACACTCTCGAGGGGTGTTGCGAGGAAAAGGACGACGACGGGCAGGCGGTGCACGTGAGCCCGGAAGGCCAGCGCTTCCCGGATATCCTGACGGCCTACGAGCACGACGTCGCGACCAAGGCGGCGCGCGACGCGCCCGATCATCGCCAGGTGGTGTCGTTCCTGGCGAAGTTCATGCAGGACATGGGCTGCGCGAGCGAGGAGGCCCCGAAGACGGGGGACGGCTTCCGCATCGTGAGGACCACGAGCACTCTGGACGACTGGCTGCACCGCGGCGACGACCCGGTCCTCAAGCACATGAGTTTGCAGGTGTACGCCATGTGGGTCTACCGCTGCGAGAAGCCCGACGGCCTGTGGCGAGACAAGACCCGCGCGCAGCACCTGGACTTCGACTTCGCGCCGCACTACGCGCTGTACGCGACCCACAAGCAGCGCCTGGCCCCCGAGCTCCGCGCGCCCCTCTTCGAGGGCTTCACCATGCCGACGATGAACAAAGACTGCGAGACAGCATGCTTGTACAAGCAGTTGCTCCTGAGGCCGTTGGAGGTGGAGAACTCGGAGACGCCGGAGGACGAGCGCATGCTGCGGGCGCTCGCGCCCCTGATGGAGGCCCCCGGCGCGCCCCGTGACATGAATGTGCGCGGGTCAACCTGTTTCACGCGATCTTGGGCGCACTACGAGGCTCAGGCGGACGCGGAGGCCCGCGTCGCCGCGGCCCGCTTCCTCGCGCGGCACGAGTGGCCCTCGATCTGGGAGACACAGGAGGTGCAGGAGGAATTCTTCGCGCTGCACCAGGCGCGAGCGGAGGGTAAGGACGCGGAGGGCGACTCGCTGGACCCCGCCCACTGCCCCGACAGAGAGAAACCCAGGGCGACGGTGCACCAGTACGTCTCCATGATAGCCATGCAGGTGGCGCCCAACCTCGAGGGAATCGCCCTGGCGCGCGAGGAGAAGAAACCCCGGCAGTACCAGAGCGACGCAGCAGTGCAGAGCGCGTACCTCAAGGCGACCACCGGTGGAGGTGCCGGTCAGGACGAGGGCGCCGAGGCGGGCGAGGGCGTGGAGCACCCGGGCGCGCCTCCCAAGCGTGTCGGAGCACACTTCCAGCCGGTCCCGACGTGGGGCATCGACGGGGAGCAGGACATGGCGGACGTGCTGAACTTCGCGCACCGTAAGCGCCTCACGAGGTTGGCCAAGGAGCTCCTCGCGCTCCCGTGCATGTCCGAGGCGGCCCGCGAGGGCGCGGGTGCGCCCGAGCCGACGGAGGCCGCGACTGCTCCCGCGCCCGCGGCCGGGCACCGACCGCTGGTGACCGCGGCGCGCGAGGAGAGACACGCCTGGGGAAACCTGCACGACGAACGCCTCCAGGACAATCGCGACGAGGAAGATGCAGGCGCTCCGGACGGCGAGGACGCGGGCGCAGGCGGCCTGGGCGGCGACCCCGCTGCGGCCAGTTTTGCCAGCAGCGTGTACTCAACGCCCAGCGCGTACATCGCCGCCCTGGTCGCTGGGTTGCCGGAGAACGAGAGACTCACGCGGGACCAGACGCTCTTCGTCGCCAAGTTCGCCAAGGCCTGCGACGACGCCTGGGAGGACGACGTGCAGAAGAAGCCCTGGAGCGAGAGAAAAGTGACGCACTTGCTCCTGTTGGGCCAGGGCGGCTCGGGGAAGACGCACGTGGTGCAGAAGATCGTCTTCCCAGTGGTGGAGTATTTGTGGCCCTCGTCGGCGCAGGACAAGGGCGCCATGATGGTCGTGGCCTTCTCGAACGCGCAGGCGAAGAACATCTCCACGGAGACGGTGAAGGCCAGAACGCTGCACAACGCCTGTGCCCTGCGAGTCCAGAAGTACATCAACGCGAAGATGAGACCGGGGAGCATGCAGAAGAGATTGCAGTGGTTGTGGGAGCACGTCCGCGTCCTGGTCATCGAGGAGGTGAGCATGGTGGCAGCTGCTCTGTACAACGCTCTGGACCTCCGCGCCTGCCACGGGCGCAGTGACACGCACGACGTGCAGGAGTCCACCTACAAGAGGCCGCACCACCACTTCGGCCGCGTCCCCATCGTGTTGCACCTCGGGGATTTCCTGCAGCTGAAGCCCACCGGCAGCATCGGGCTCCTGACGGACGTGAACGAGCTCCTGGACGACGGGTCGTACAAGTACGCGGAGCCGCCGACGGTGGAGATCCAGCACGCCATCAGGGTATTCTCTCAGATCCCCTGCGTCTTCGAGCTGAAGGGCACGAAGCGCTTCGAGCCGGGGGACCCTCTGATCGCGCTCTTGGGCTGCATGCGCGAGGGCAAGCGCTTCCCACCAGAGGTCTGGTCTGCCTGGGAGAAGACGTTGGCCTCTGACAACCACGGCGTCCTGGACCCTCGGCACCAGCACGAGAACTTTCGGCTCGGCTACGGCATGGGCATCTACTGGGAGACGCTGGCGAGGTGGATCAACACGCGCGCTCGTCGCGACGCGCGGCGCCTCGGCGTCCCCCTCGTTTTCCTGCAGGCCGTAGACGAGTGCGGCACGATTCAAGGCGAACCAGACGCAGGCCGGCGCCTCCTGAACGTCCCGAACATGCACAAGACGGGGGACATCCACGGCGTCTTACCGGCACACGTCGGCATGGAGGTCCGGTTCACGGCCGTGCAGGAGGAGCTGAAGAAGAAGTTGGGGCTCGTGCAGGAGCAACGGGCCACCATCGTGTCCTTCGAGTTTCACGCAGACGACGAGCGGGACTACGAGGAGTGCGCGCCGGGCCAGCTCTTCCGCCCCCGCTTCCTACCGCAGGGAATCTGGCTGCATGTGCACGGCTTCCAGGAGTCCCCGATCTACAAGGAGGTCGCCGAGGTGCTGCTGCAGGGCACCGAGGGCGCTGACGACGACGGCGAGGCCCAGGCGCGGGCGAGGAGCTTGCTCATGTTCAGGCCCAGCGAGCAGGAGCTCACGTGGCAGAGCTCGGGGGCGCACACTGTGCGCCGCTCGGGATTCACGCTGACGCACGCGTCCTACCTGACCTCCACGCTGTCGCAGGGCCAGACGCTGCGCAAGGGCGTCACCATCGACTGCGCCAGGGATGAGGACGCTGGCCGCACGGGCATGTCGGACGATATGTGGTGGCTGCACCTCTACGTCATGTTCTCCCGCGCCACGTGCATGCGGAACATGCTGATCCTGCGGCCGCCCGCGCGAGAGTTCCTGGAGCGCGGGCCGCCGGCGTCACTGCGGAAGGCGCTCCAGGAGTTCGACGAGAGAGCGGTGGACTCCAGGGCTGAAGCGGAGCAGCTCGCGGCAGAGCTGGGCTTCGTGCTGCCGCCCGCCTGAGCGCCGCGGCGCGCGCGAGGAGGCCCGCGGGGTTGTCCCAACGGCCTGGCCCGCGGGGTTGTCCCGACGGCCTGCCCTCGCGCTCCGGCGGCCCGCGGGAGTGCCCCGCAGGCATGGCTGGCCCGAAGGGTTGACCCGACGGCTTCGCGATCTGGCCGTCGGCAAACGCGCGCGTTCTGACCGAGGCGGCGACGGCGCCGAGGAAAATCGACTTGCTTCCCCCGACCGGGGGGAAAGGGACGTGCACGTGGAAAAGAGGCAGGAGGAGGATGAGGACGGAAGGGGTATGGGGAGGGCGATGATGAGGAGGAGGTGGAGAAGGAGGAGGAGGAGGAGGAGGAGAAGGAGGGGGGGGAAATAGAAGAAGAGGAAAAAATGGCAGAGGAGAGGGCGATACGAGGGTGTTTGCCATGGCCGGGAGGAAAGGGATAAGGGAAAGCTAAACAGATTATCATGCGGGGTCCTTCCGTCGGAGTAATTTTCCATTGGTGTTTGAAACAGTTGGGCGTTCTCCCCTTTTCCGCTTCCCGCCGCTCCAAGACGGCCCAAGAGTCCTTCAAGATCGTCCCAAGACGGCCCAAGAGGCCTCCAAGAGGGCCCCAAAACAGCCCGAGAGGAGCCCAAGACAGCCCCAAACGCCTCCAAGACGGCCCAAAAGGCCCCCAAGACGGCTCTAAGAGCGTGCCCAGACGGAAACCCGAATGGGCATGTCGAGCCCATGGCCTCGAGAGGCTCCCAGGCGGCCCCAAGAGGTTCCCAAGAGCACAAGAGGACCCCAGGGGCCCACAAAAGACCCCTGGGAAGCCCGAAGAGGCCCCAAGAGGGTCCCAGGAGGCCCCCAAGAGGCCCACGCGTTCCTCCCCAGAGGCCTCCGAGACCCCAACATTCAGAACATCTACCGGGGCTTATCGCGTGCCCTCTAGGCTCCCCAGCGGCTTTCCGCAGTGATTCTTCGGGCCCAGGAGGGCGCCACGACGGGCACGGAGGGCCCCAAGGGGCTCCGAAGCCGGTCCACGACGGCCCCGACACGCCCAGGAATCGGCCCAAGACGCGCAAGATGACCACCAGGCGGCCCAGGAGGCCTCCAAGACACCCCAAGAGGCTTCCAAGAGGCCTCCCGAGAGGCCAAAATCATTAACTCGCCTCAGGTTTTTGAAAGTTTGTGGCCTTCTCGCCGTTTCGGCATCCCGACGCTCCCAGACGGCCTCAGAGCCTAAGAGGGCCCGAGACGGCCTCAAAGGCGCCAAAGATGGCCCAAGAGGCCTCAAAGACGGCTCCAGGAGGGGGCCCAGAAGGGGGACCCGAACGGACAGTTCGAACCCTCGGCCCCGAGGGGCCCCCTGCAGGCCCCCAGGAGCTCCCAAGAGGCCCCCAAGGGGCCCCCGAGGGGCCCCCGAGAGTCCCCCAAGATGCCCCAAGAGGTCCCCAAGAGGTCCCCGAACACACCCCAAGAAGCATCCCTAAACTCTGGAGGTAGGGGGAATAGATGGGTCCATCCATGGGCCCACCGCTTTTTGGAGGTCTGCTCATACGGATGCTGCGTTGTCTGTTGTGTCTTGCATTGCATTGCATTGCATTGCATTGCAGTGCAATCGCATTGCATTGCATTGAGATGCAATTACGTTGCAGCGCAATCGCATTGCACTGCATTCAGTGAGGGTGGACGGAGAGAGGATGGAGAGGCGGACGGGGAAGGATTGAAGAGGGAACAGGGAGCGGAGTCACCCAGTGTCGCGAAAGCGGCAACAGTTCTAAAACATCACGAAACCTAGGAGGCAGCACGGTCT